GGATAATAATGTCAGAAAGATTGAAACACAGAAAGGAATCATGAAGGTGTTCCGTGGAGCGCTTGTGGTGCTGAAAGGCAAAAAGATAGCAGCAAACTTGTACATATTGAAGAGAGAGACTTTGCTTGAAGCAGAAGCCTCTGTTACCTCATGTAGTTCAGATTCTGCAATGATATGGTATCAGAAACTTGGACACATGTCAGAACAAGGAATAAAAGTCCTTGTGGAGCAAAAACTACTTCCAGGCTTAACAAATGTATCACTTACCTTGTGTGAACATTGTATAACAAGTAAGCAGCACCGATTGAAATTCAACACGTCAAATTCTAGAGGCAAAAGTGTTCTAGAATTGGTTCACTCTGACGTATGGCAAACACCAGTTACATCCCTAGGCGGAGCAAAATACTTTGTCTCATTTATTGATGACTACTCCAGGAGATGTTGGGTGTACCATATTAAGAAGAAGTCAGATGTGTTTGCAACTTTCAAAAACTTCAAAGCGCGGGTGGAACTTGATTCTGGAAATAAGATCAAGTGTTTCAGAACAGATAATGAAGGAGAATACACAAGCGAAGAATTTGATGACTTTTGCAGGAAAGAAGGCATCAAAAGACAGTTCACAGTGGCAAACACTCCTCAACAAAATGGAGTGATAGAGCGGATGAACAGAACCTTGTTAGAAAGAACAAGAGCAATGTTGAGGGATGCAGACCTAGAAAAATCATTCTGGGTAGAAGCAGTCAATACCGCCAGTTATTTGGTGAACCGAGCTCCATCAACTGCAATAGAGCTAAAGACACCAATGGAGATGTGGAATGGTAAACCAGTTGATTATTCAAACCTCCATGTATTTGGAAGTATAGTGTACGTGATGTACAACTCCCAAGAAATTTCAAAGTTTGATCCAAAATCCAGGAAATGCAAATTTTTAGGGTATACTGATGGAGTAAAGGGGTATTGCTTTTGGGATCCCACTGCCCGCAAAGTGATCATCAACAGAGATGTTGTCTTTGTAGAAGATAAACTACAAAGAAAAGAAGATGATGATAGCGATGAAAAGTCAGAGACTACTCAGATACATGTGGAAAAAGAGTTTGAACAAGAAGATTCTTCTGAAGTAGAACCAGCACATGATGAACAAGAACCAGAGAGTTCTGAAGCTCCAACAACTCGTCAATCATATCGTGTGAGAAGACGTCCCAATTGGCACTCAGATTATGTTATAGAATGTAATATTGCATACTGCCTTTTAACAGAGGATGGTGAGCCATCAACATACCAAGAGGCAATAAACAGCTCAGATACTTCACTGTGGATGATGTCGATGCAAGAAGAAATTGAAGCCCTTCATAAAAATAATACATATGATCTTGTGCTACTACCACAATGAAGGAAGCCAATTGGTAACAAATGAGTCTTCAAAATCAAGCGAAATGGTGACAATCAAGTTGAGAGGTATCGTGCAAGACTGGTGGTCAAAGGATATGCTCAAAAAGAATGTATTGATTTCAATGAAATATTTATCATGTGGTTCGACTAACAACAATTCAAGTAGTTTTGGCAATGTGTGCTACATTGAACTTACATCTAGAGCAGCTAGATGTTAAAATAGCTTTTCTTCATGGAAATCTTGAAGAAGAGATTTACATGCTCCAACCTGAAGGTTTTGAAGAAAAAGAAAAGAAGAACTTGGTTTGCAGGTTAAATAAATCTCTGTACGGTTTAAAGCAGGCGCCGAGGTGTTGGTATAAGAGATTTGATTCCTTCATTATGTGCCTTGGATACAACAAACTTAATGCAGACCCTTGTGCTTATTTCAAGAGGTCTGGTGATAACGATTTTGTTATATTGTCGTTGTATGTGGATGACATGTTGGTTGCAGTACCCAACAAAGATCATATTGAATAATTGAAGGCATAACTAACTATGGAATTTGAAATGAAGGACTTGGGATCAGAAAACAAGATTCTAGGGATGCAAATTCACCGAGACCGAAGTAATAGGAAGATTTGGCTTTCACAAAAGAATTACTTAAAGAAGATCTTATCACGATTCAACATGCAAGATTGTAAGCCAATTTCTACCCCTCTTCCTATTAACTTTAAATTATCCTCCAGTATGAGTCCTAGCAGTGAAGAAGAGATGATGGAGATGTCTCGAGTATCGTATGCATCGACAGTGGGAAGTTTAATGTTCACTATAATATGCACAAGACCAGACATTGCACAAACAGTGGGAGTGGTTAGTCGGTACATGGTGAATCCAGACAAAGAGCATTGGAATACAATAAAGAGGGTTTTGAGATACATCAAAGGGACCTCAAATATTGCATTATGTTACGGTGGATCAAACTTACTAATCAATGGGTATATAGATTCTGACTATGTATGAGATTTGGATAAAAGCAAATCTACTACAGGATATGTGTTCAAAATTGCTGGTGAAACTGTAAGTTGGGTTTCAAAATTGCAGTCAGTTGTGGCTATGTCCACAAAAGAGGCATAATATGTAGCAGCTATACAAGCCAGTAAAGAAGCAATTTGGTTGAAGATGTTATTGGAGGAGCTTGGGCACAATCAAGAGTATGTCTCTTTGTTTTGTGACAGTCAAAGTGCCTTGCATCTAGCAAGGAATCCAATATTTCATTAAAGGACAAAGCACATACGAGTTCAGTACCATTTCATTCATGAAAAGGTGGAAGAAGGGACATTAGATATGCATAAGATCCATACAAAAGGCAACATAGCAGATTTTATGACGAATGCAGTAAATACTGATAAATTTACTTGGTATCGATCCTCTTGTGGCATGTCAGAAATGTAAGCAACATGAAGGTACAAGGTAGAAAGAATGGTGTGAAGATATGATTATTCCAATCAAATCTTCAAGTGGGAGATTGTTGAAAAGTCAATGCATTTGGCCAAAGTTTCAACATTGTTTTCGGTGGAAACATTTAGGTGGCTTTGCATATGCATTTTCGGTGGCATTGAAATTATACAGCTTGAAAATATTTTTTTTTGTAATGGTATAATCATTTTTAGTCATTGTAATTTAGGGTATTTATAAATTAGTCCTTAAGCTTCAACTATAAATACCCTAGCTCATTTAGCTTCAAATTCATCCCAAAGCATTCTAGCTTTCTCCCAATACTAGAGAATTTAGAGAGTTTATTGAGAGTTGTTTTCTCCTTTTTATCAAGAGAGAATTATCATTGTTTTCTCCTTGGTAGATCGAGAGAAGTTGTAATTCCTATTTTCTCATAGTGAAATTCTTCTACTGTTGCCCATGGTTTTTACCCTATATTATTTAGGGGTTTTCCACGTAAATTTTGTGTCTTTTTTATCTTCATTTTTATTTTCTCAAATTATCAGTTGCGATTTTGCTCTATCCGATAGCCGTCTTCCATAACATAATTATCCACCTACAAGTAGTTAATTTTTTTTTTATATTTCACACCAACATTAAGGATAATTATAAAATTTCCCTAAGAGGAATCACAAGCACAAGCACACCAACAATATATTCTGTTAATTCAATCTTGATTTTGAAGATTAAAGTTACATTTAGATAATCATATTTGACCATAAAATAATAACAAATTACTGAATTTTTTTAATATTTTATTCGATGATCAATATTAATCAATCATATGATTGAGCAAAATCAGATCGCATCCTTACGAAGTTCTTATGTAACGAAAATGATGACCCAAAGATAAAATATTAAGAATCGATATAATATATTGTTGGAAATACTTCGTTTTGTTTGATCATAAATACTTCAATTTACTTGTTTTGTAAATATTTTCCTCCCTATTTCTTAGCTGTGAAATCTTTGTGATTTGTCAGTTTCCCTTTTCCATGTATTCATTAATTTTTGAATAATTTGTGATTTGTAAATAATTTTGAAGGTAGACATATATATATATATATATATATATATATATATATTAATAGTATAAAATTTTTGAATAAAATAAGCATAAATAAATTTTTAAGGTGGAAATCATCAATAAAATGAGTCAACAATCGAAGAAAATTTAAATTTCAGGATATATACAATAAAATTTAAGAATAGTTACCATAAATGAAATAAGTGACTAATAAAAAAATCCAGATTTCAGGGCGGGTACCTGCCTATCCTCAACCATGAGTGCATTTGCCACTGCATTGAATTGTTATTTTTAATTAAAACGGACTTAATTGAAAACTACACTAGATTATCTTATCGATGCTTAAACGAAATTTTTATGATATGATCGTCTTTAGCATGCGATTTAGTTATTCATCATGTGAACATACGGATTTATCAATTATAATACAAAAATAAATAAAATTATTATATTATATACTTTTTTTGTCAATAATTTCTAAAACATATAATTAAAAGTTTTCAATTGGCACTTTTTTTTATTGTGGATTTCATATTCATTAAGAACAAAATAATATTTTTCTCCCTTAGATAAGAATTGTTCTCTTTTTTTTTTACTTTTTAAAATAAATTTGTTAAAATATACTATAATAATTGATAATTGAAATATTTGTTCTAAAAATATCTAATTAAAATTTAATAATCTTTTAAATAATATAAGAGGTTTGAAGTCGAACCTTAGTATTATGAATGAAGTAATTGGGTTAGATTAATTAATTAATAAATCGAAGGCAATATATTATTCCAAAAGAAAAGAAAACTATCATTGCTCTTGTATTTCTTCATCCGTACATATAAACAAAAAAATACCATTTCTTTCGGGATAAACTAATTAATTTTTTTAAAATTATATTAAACACTTAATTTTAGTTTCATTTTAATCACTCGTCGTAAAAAAATAATACAAATGCGTTACAATAACATAATGTCACATTATTATTAAAAAATAAAAAATATCACATCAATGTTAGATTTTGAAAAAAAAATAGTTAAGTGACTAAAATAGAACGAATGTGATAGTTAGATACTAAACGTGTAGTTTACCATTCTTTCAAACTTGGTTAGTTTAGGCCCATAGAGGGTTAGGAGGAACCTGAGGCAGTATTATTATTAGTTGGATATTCATCTCTAGCCAACCGATTCGCCGTCCTTTTGCTTGTTTGATCGGATCAGTCATGGCAGACGAGGTAGCCTCCCATTCTCTCTTCTTTTCTTTTCATTTCCCGATTATTTTATATAAAATGATAGGATATGAACAAGAAAGTGGAATAAATGTATTTACATAAATCAATTTTCCGATTGAGATCCCATCTATTGATCACAAGTATGTTTACCCTTTTCATCTTGACTCAAGATGGGCCAATTGTTTTGGGTTTTTTGACGTCATTCCTTTGTTCAATTTATAGTTTTTTAGTTGTGTTTTTTTATTCCCTCCAAATGCTTGAACAAATCGTGAAATTCTATCAATTTTTGAAAGTCATCCGATTTGAAAGTTTATTGCTTTAGGGAGCAAAAAGCCTTTTTGCGTGTGTTACGTGGTATAATGTTTAAGCTGTATGTTGTAGAAGTTTAGTACATTTGAGAGTTGTTTAACCTTCACTGCTGAGAACTGCATTAGGCTCCACATCAAATGAAGAATTTATGTGGAGAATGCTTCGTTGTTTCATGTGTTATCATAGATTGTTGATCTTTGTAGTGTAGTGAATCTTTTTGTAAGCCCTTTTGTTGTACCCAAATATGCCTTTGCCTTTTGATTTGTACCCAAATAAGCATTTATTTCAAATGTAAATTTTGGTCTATGTTTAGGGATTTTTTGTTACAAATGAACTAAGGTCTTATTTTGGTACAAAATACAATTTAAAGGTTAAAGCTTTGTTTTGCTAATTAAAGATTAAAGAGTTATTGGGTATAAAAAAATTATAGATGATTTACTTGGGTAAAGTGGTACATTTGTGAATTCTTTTTGTAATTTGTCGAAAATTTTCTAGGAAATAGATGATTGTAGTTTCTCCTTGAATTCTGTTTTGCCTAACAAATATATATTCTGAAACTAGGATCTAATTTGAAAGGCTCCTTTATTAATCTCTACCCATATTTTAAACAAATTGTTTCTCTTGCCACCCCTTTTTTTTGCCTTCATTTTATGAAGGTTAAGGTATAGAGTAAGTTTATCTTGTCATAAAGATAATGCATTTTGTTCTCTCAATTGCAATTATGAATTAATAGGCTCAAGGTAACTTAAAAAGACAGCAAGGGGATTATATTCTTATTTAGAGAGTAAAGCATATTGACATCACAGGTCATACTGTAGGAAGCATTGTGCCATTAGAAGTGTAAATTCTGTAATACGTTAAACACATTTGTAGATGGTTATTTGTGTTAGGGGAGGAGACATTCAACTTGAAATTATATGTTGTGTGAGCAGACGGAGATAGGTCAGAATAGACCTTAAAGAACAACTTCATGGCAATTAGGGTGATGAAGTAAGGTGGTGTAGGATGGTGAAAAGTCTGGATATAGGAATGATTCAGAGAGGAAGCTGTAGAGAAATTCTTGAGAGACCAAAGGTTGTCTGATTTGTTGAATGATCTAATAATATGATATTTTTGTTCATTAATTTTAGTTCCAGCATTATAAATTGCAGAATAGAATGGGAAGTTATCTATATGTCAACTGTGGTAAAATACATGGGTGAATGGGAAAAGGAAGTTACAATGAGTTAAAATTTGTCAGGGGAGATTGTAGGTGATGGATGATAAAGGTTGATCACATGACATCACTACATTTAGGAATGCATCACTAGATGTTGATTGTTACAGATAATAAGCTTGAGCAATAATGCTGGCAGTTCTCTCAAGTCTGTCTACCTTCCAATGAAGAGTTCATTTATAGAATCATAGCACTCCTGTTGTAAAATTATGACTTTTGCAAATACTGGAGACTCTAATTAGGAAAGTAACCATTTAACAATCAAATGTGGCCTGAAACGATAATACCTTCACTATATCTATAATAAAAAATGTAAGGGGGAGCCCAAAATATGACTCTTGGGAAGTCATAAAAATTTCATGCCAATTGGACTCTAAACTTATGGACGTGTGTATTTATTTTACTGTATATTTCTATTGGTAAATAAATTAATCTGGACTCATAATTGGAATTTTCACTTTGAGCTGACAAGTTACAAATTCACATCAAATTATCATCTACTAGTTCTCACATTTCTTCCATGCCATCTTTTATTCTTGTATTGTCCCAGATTGAACTGAAAACAGCCCCTGCTGACTTTCGTTTCCCTACAACAAACCAAACTAGACATTGCTTCACCCGCTACATTGAGTTCCACAGGTACATTGATTGTTATTTAAAGTTTTATTTTTTGTTTGGAAATTATCAATTTAAATTTTCTAATCTTGAAATCAAATACAGGTGCTTGACTGCAAAGGGTGAGGAATCTAATGAATGTGAAAGATTTGCCAAATACTATCGTTCTCTCTGTCCCGGTGAATGGGTGAGTACACCATATTTTTTTAATTCCATTATCTTACATGAGGTAGAGTTCGTCTTGTTGTAGGGAGCGTATGCTTTAATTCGTATGTGTTATGATTTTTTCACTTTCAGTTACCATTTTATGTTGTCCACATTTGTAAATATTCTGCATGTCATTACGTTATTAATAAAGCTTGTGGAATGTTTTGTGGTTTTAGATACCAGCTGATGCATGCATAATATAATAGCTGTAAATATGAGTCATCCACTTACATTCAACGGCATAAACTCGAGTTGCTTGTTTTTCTCACCAAATCTGTGTTTACGTTGATTGTAGATTTTGTTACTGAATCAGCAGAACTTTATCACCTTAGTGTACTTCAATATTATAGTTATGCTATATGTTGTTCATAGGATCACAATTGATATTGTTAATGATGATAAAAGAAAACAAATAAGTACCTTCTTGGACTGTCATTTAATGACATTTTTAGTCAGAAATCTTCCTATGTCCATATCGTTCGCTTGTAACACATGAAATTTGTGCTTAAATTAGTACTTGATGTAGACTATATTTAGGATCTCGAATTACCATTTACTACTTTAATTGACCTACTCCAGGTACATTGTTAAGTGTTGAATTCGTGCTGAAATGTATTGAGCAATGAATAACTGAATAAACCTTCTCAGTCTTCACCATCTTCATTCTACGCGAACTAAACAATTTTTTTTTCCCTCTTGTGCTTACACGAGCAGCTACTTAAATAAACTACTTTGGGTTTTGCCTAATTGCTGTAGGTTGAGAAGTGGAATGAGCAGAGGGAGAATGGCACTTTCCCTGGCCCCCTGTGATTGCACATTGGAAATAAGATGATGGAGAATTCATATCTTTCTGTTGAACTTAGTCATCCAGTTTCATTGTTTATCCAGGATTTCTTTGAATTAATAAGGCTATAGATGGAGATATGTTTGATTCCATCCAACATTAATGCACCATGGTCAATGAGTATGTCAAAACCTCTACTACTGCTCCATGTTCTTCTGATTTCTTCAATCATATGGAACCTGCATTTTTCAGCTGATTGTTTCAAAAATCATTCTGTGAATTTAAAAATATACCTCATTTTTTAAAGTATATAACTATTAGAAAAATGTAAACATTTAAGAAAAAGTTGATAAAAAGTAATAGATAAACCGAGTCATCTTGTCGTGGCATTGAACTCGGACCATGATGTTCATAATATATATATATATATAAGCCCTGTAATTGTTTTTTTTTACAACGGCAACTAGATTTTATTAATAACATAATGAATCAAAATTACAATGCATCATAATAAAGAGATAAATTTAGAGATAATAATTACCAAAATACTCATACAAAGTAAATAAAAAACCTAAAAATACGAAGAAAAATAAAATCTTTCGTTGAGAATAACGATCAATATCAAAGCTCAATTACCTTCATACAAACTCGTTGTCTCTCTCGAATGAGACATTTGACTAAGTGATAAAAGAGTAGAGAGTGAACCAAATAATCTGGTAAGCTGTGTCGTTACATAATTCTGATTAAATCAGCAAACAATATTTTATCAAAAGAGAGAATCTAACTATACATGACAACCGACTAACCAATTAGTAAATAAATGTTGTAATGGATTTTGTGTGAGAAACAAAACGACCACAAAGCTATGCGAAAAAACGTATCGAAAACCATGAGGATCGTGTCACAAAAGCAGAGAAAATGTGCATAAAAATCAACAAAAAATTCTTTGACATAGATTCTTATTTAAAATTAAAAAAACTCAACAAAAAACATAAAATACATAAAATAAAAATCAAGAGATCTAATATTCTTTGACAATCGGCAACCAACATTAAGATTAGTGTCGTTTCCTGTTAAATAAAAATTAAAGAGAAAAAAAACGGTATAAAAATATTGGGAAAAAAATTAAGTTGAAATAAAGGAGAGACAACTAGAGTCCTTTAAAATATGAATTTGTAATCCGTATAATCTTTAAAATAATTAACAACATAAAATAATATCACATCTGTAGTAATGCACGCTAGTTGCAGGGTGCCACGCAAGTTGAGTTTCACTTTATAGTGACCACATAAAATAATATGATTATCTCTCCTAATAAGACATAAGTTCACTGTTCTTCAGCTTATCCATTCATAATTTAATCTAAAACAAAACTTCGAACAATGATCTCGTCAGTCCTGATTCATCCCCATACCATCATCGTTATTGTACTTAGAAGTGGTTTTACCAGACCAACTTAACTCTTGTCAGATGATTCATCTATAACCACTTGCACCGCTCGTCTGGTCGTTGATCGACTTTGGATCCTTCGCATGTTCCATGTGTTCCAGGTCCTTTGCTTAACCCATAGCACAATATATAAACCAGTGACGAATCCAAAAATTAAAAAATGAAAGTTCAAAATAAATATTATAATATTCATTAATAAAAAAAGTTACATAATTAAAAATCCAAAATAACAATTCATTCAAAAAGCATAAAAAATACTAAACACTAGAAGCAATTACAATTGTTCTCGACGAGCTTTCATTCCTTAAAATCGTTTCAAGATTTTTTTCATCATCGATTTGGACAGGAACATCTCTTTCAATATAAGTGACCAAACAATCATTTAGAAATTGATTACCTATGCTATTTCGCAACTTATTCTTCACGATGTTCATTTTAGAAAATGCTCTTTCCACACTTGCAGTTGCTACGGGGAGAATCAATACCAACTTTATGAGCAAATAGACTTGTTGGTACACTTGATGCTTCTTTGTCTCGACAAGCTTCATGGAAAGTTCACCCATATCTTTCAATATCCAAAATCTATCATCCCTCCGCATATCAACAATATAATTATCAAGTTGATCATCAAGGGCTAGTCTATCAACACTTGTAAATTCATCGGGATATAATTTAGCAAGTCTAAGTATCTTTTGCTTGTCAAAAGAAGAAAATTTATCAAGTGGACTCAAAGAAGCCATACAAGTCAATAACTCTATACTAACCTCATCAAATCGATTGTTTAACTCTTGAAGCTGAAGATCAATAACTCCCAAGAACACTTCAAATCGAAAATGATGAATATTAATAGTATCCAAACGACAACGTTTCTTTCTTCCCGAAGGAGTATACACAACATCCATATCAAGAATATCAATGTCATTCTTGTTACAAAATGAAGTGATTGTAGCAAAAAAAGACCCCCACTCGTTTTCTCTCATATTTTGTTATCTTTCTTTAATTAAAGTAACAAGTGACATAGCATTGACAATATCTTGATCTTTTCTCTGTAAAGCTTTGTTTAATTCATTCATAATCCCAAATATTCTCTTCATCACGTGAATCATGAAAATGAAATCAAATGACTATTGCAAAACTCACATTATCGGTTTTTCGAGCATCATCATCATTTCGAGCATCGTTACCAATCAAATCAAGCACCTCATGTATTGTAGAATACAAATCAATCACATTCAAAATCAACTTATAATGAGACTCCCAACGTGTATCACCCGGCCTACCTAAACCAAGCTATTTGTTTAAACCTTTTTCCAGTCACAATTTCACCATTTTCAAAGGCTTTTGCAATTTTTTCAGCTTGTTTTCCTTTAAGCAAATCTTTTCGCCTACATGATGATCCAACAACATTCAACAAATCTCCAAGTGTATCAAAAAGCCAACCACAATCTTTATTTTTCTTAAAAACGACAACAAGAGTTAATTGAAGTTGGTGAGCAAAACAATGTATGTCATATGCATATTGTGTTTCTCTCATGATTAGAGTTTTAAAACCATTAAGTTCACCCTTCATATTACTAGCTCCATCGTACCCTTGCCCACGAATTCTTGAAAAACTCAAAGAATGCTCATCGAGCAAAGAAAATATAGCTTCTTTAAGAGACAAAGATGTGGTATCACCAACATGAACAATTCCAAGAAACCATTCCTTTATAATTCTTTTTTTTATCAACATAACGGACACACAAAGCCATTTGTTCTTTTTGAGACACATCACTTGACTCATCTACTAGTATTCCAAAATAATCCTTACCAAGAACTTCCACAATTGCCTTGGTAGTTTCTTTTGCACAACAATTGATAAGCTCTTTTTGAATCAAAGGTGCAATCATTTGATTATTTTTAGGTGCATTTTTCAAAACAACATTTCCCACATCATCATTCTTTTTCGCAATCCAATTCAAAAGTTCAAGCAAATTTCCCTTGTTACTTGATTCATCACATTCATCATGACCACGAAATGCCAATCCTTGATGTAAAAGAAATCTTGAACAATGAAGAGAAGTAGTCAAGCGGATTCGGCAGTCACTTTTAGCTTGCTCGGTTTGTTGGTCTAAAGGAACTTTCAAGGATGACTTAAAGTTCTTTAAATTCTCAAATTTTTGAAAAACTTGATTATGAGCACTATTAATTCCACCAACATGTTTTCTAAACTGAACTGGCATATTCCAACCTCTAAACCCATTAACAAAAATGCATCTCCTCCTGCAGCTTTGGTAGTTTCATTCTTAAACAAGTAACAAACAAAGAAAATGCAACATCTTTTGAAACACTATACTCAAGCCAAAAATACTTATTAAACCAAGATTTATTAAAGCGATATAATATACCTCCTCCGAAGTCCGTTTGAGGAAATTTGTGCTTCTTTGGTTGGCAAGCACCTCTTTGTATGTATTCTTTCCTCACTGCTTCTCGATCCATTGGATGATAATCAATAATTTTTTTCCTTTTAGCTGTATCATGTGGAATAGAGATATCATTAACTTGGCTTTCCATCTCTTTTGATGCAAATGTTGTACTATCATCTTGTGTAATACATGTAGATCTCATTTCGGTTTCTTGAGTTGCTGATGGTTGAGTCGGTGATGAGACACAAATTGGCACTTGAGAAGAACTTACATCATTCTTTTTGGACTTTTGAACAAACCAATCCAACGTTTCATTCTTCTTCTTTCGTTGAGATTTCATCTTTTCATCATTCATCTTCTTACTACTACAATTACAAAATTTACAAATCACAATATTTATTGATTATAATTCACTATTAGTAATTATATTTATTATCAAAGAAGTAAGATCTTAATTACTAATTAAATAATTTTAATAGATTCAACTTAAAAATTAAAATATCTAAATTGCTTCTACTTAAATTACACAAATTTAGTATACCATTTTTTTCTCTTTCCCAAAAATACATATTAGTAATTTTACATATCACAATTTAACATTCAAATAATTTTCATAAAATCACTAAAATGTATCAAAATTGATTCAAAATTTAATTTTATCTCTTAATTTTAACTCACTCAAATTAAAAAAAATAAATTTCAAAATTTAAAAACTCAAATATAAATTTAACTAAATTTAAGAGGGTAAAAAAATGAGTGAAGAATCTAACTATTTGTATATGTGGAAAAGAAATGACCAACAACTTACCGGCGACTTGGTTGAGGAAGTTCACCGAAAAATCGCCGATGAACGGCGTCGTGGCGGGTGGTTTAGGCTCAAACAAGATACTGAGAATTGAGTAGCAGTGGGATTGGAACCTGTGGGTTTGAACGCAAAACAGAAGCTTTAGTATTAATAATAGATGAAATGAAAAGTTTTTAAATTATATATATTATTTTAATTAATATAAAAATATAGAATAGATTGACAGTTTCCTGCTCACGAATACAAATTTCAACTACAAAAAAAAGTGTGCAGAAAAGTAAAAAAAAGTGTACAAAATTTTTAAATTTGGATATAATATATTAAGTGTTAATATTATTTTAAGAAAAAATGGATATGCAACTTCTAACTCGTAGCTGATACAAACCCATAATACCGCAAAAACACCCACCAAGCTGACCCGAAACCAACCCAGAAACCGGTCAATCTTTTCCCGGAAAAAGGAAGAAACAAGAAAGTAAATATATTCACTTTT